CGCAGATTAGCATCAACACGACGTCGAGAGGAAGGGGGACTGGGAGAAGGAGAGAATGAACGAGCCTGCCGACGTCCCAATATAGACAACGAAGGAGCCTGCCGACGTCCCAATATAGACAACGAAGACAAAGGAGGGGCCGTTCGCAGCCGGCGGGGGGAAGAAGAAGGAGGGGCCGTTCGCAGCCGGCGGGGGGAAGAAGAAGAAGAGGACGAAGAAGAAGAAGAAGAGGAAGAAGAAGAAGAAGAAGAAGAAGAAGAAGGAGAAGGAGGAGGAGGAGGGGGAGGATAATATATTACGTATATTATTATATTATGATTATTATATATTATATTAATTTATTATTATATATAATTATTATTATATTATTAATTTATTATATTATATTATATTATAGTATTATATTATAGTATTATATTTTATTATTACTATATTATTATTATTATTATTATTATTATTATTATTATTATTATTATTCTGTAATGCCTTGAATGATTATATGCATGATTTTTTAATGCGTACAATCACATCAGCCTCAGGCGGATTAACTCGCCGTTCCACGGCTAGACTGATATCAAATACATGAATCGATTCATTCATTCATTCATTCATTCATTCATTCATTCATTCGTTCATTCATTTGTTTAGTCATTCGTTCGTTCATTCATTCAGTCACTCGTTCATGCATTCATTCATTCGTTCGTTCGTTATTTCGTTGATTGATTTCGTTCATTGATTGATTGATTTTGAATTGTTATTTGTTATTTTTTAACAATCCGCCCGCGACAACAGGTCGGAGTGATGGTAAGATCATACACTCGTAGCTGTCTTGCAGGGGGGTCCAGTCTATTGATTCATTGATTGATTCATTGATTGATTCATCGATTGATTCATTGATTGATTCATTGATTGATTCATGGATAGATTAAACCGATTGGGCCAGCCATCAGTCCATGGCGTTTTTTCACACTTTGATTTGTTGCAAACTCGTCGATCTGTCTATTTGATTGCCTGATAGTAAACTGATTGATGAACTGGTAGCTTGATTGATTGTATGACTGATTAGTGGATTGATTCATTGGGTGGATGGTTTGGTTGGGAGGCTGATTAGCTCATCAAACATTTCTGACAAAACAAAATCCACCATGGTGCGATTTTGATATAACAAGCACTGGCTCATCCGGAATCAATTTCGCCAACTGACGGACTGCAGGATAGCTTGCTCACCTATGCGACGCCTACCGTACCGTCTTTTCACCCGAATAGAACGCCCGGTCATTATAGCTGTATCGAGACTGAAAGTTGCACCAAATACAGATGTAATGACCGGGCATTGTACCGTATTCGGGTTAGGCACGAAGAACCTGCACTTCTTATCCCGGATGTGGTCGACTCCCTCGTTTATGCTGCGTTTAATGTGGCTGTATCTGCACCTTCCCCCCCCCCCCCCCCCCCCCTCTCTCTCTCTCTCTCTCTCTCTTTGTCTGTGTGCTGGCAGGGAAAGGG